CAGGCCACAAAGTTTGTTTTTTGTTTATTTGCATATTTTATTTTGTATTATAATTTTTGCCTTCAAAGCCTCGCGATGTACTTGGTAAAAGATCGCGGCACACCAGTTGAGAACCTCTAGCCTACTAGATGAATCACTAGACAATGAAGCACGTAGGAAACTGTTCTATATCTAAATTAATCGCGAGGCGGCAACAAAACAGTAACCACGAATCGCTGTACAGGAGAAGATGATATATAAACGCACTCCAAGGAAATTGAAACAACATTCATAAACCATTTTCGTTAAACTGTGGTCAAAATGGAAAACAGTATGGGTTGTGTGTTTACTCTGAGTTATAGGCATCTGCATGTCTTCAAGTTTTCGTTGTTATTTTCGGAACTGCATATTTCATTCGATTTTTTTTTTCCTTGGCACTACAGCCCCAGTGGGCCTAGGCCTACCTCCATGAACTTCTCCGTTCACTTCGGTTTTTCTACATTTTACACATGCGGTAGGATCCCTTGGGCGGGTGATCAGCTCGCCGCTAGGCCTCTACCTGTATACAAACACAGAAAAACGCACACACACAAACTAAACACCCATGCCCTGAGTGGGATTCGAACCCACGATCCCGGTTTCCAAGCGAGCGAAGACAGTACATGTCTTAGACCGCTCGGCTGTCGTGACCGGCCTCATTCGAAGTTTGCGGCTTTAAATTGCGCAGCGGGTCGATAATTACTCTATACGTACTAATTATCATGTGTTAGTCACGATACTTGTGCACCTAGATACACTATCTGACGTCGCAACCATATATCAATAATTATTAATTGACGTTTGGATTATTTAATGACTCTGCTTCACGTATAACACCATGAAATTGTGATGAACAATACGTCAGTCATCTNAGTTTCTCCACTTAATGCGATCTTCTGTTTTTGGAAAGAGACTATAACACGTATAACACCATGAAATTGTGATGAACAATACGTCAGTCATCCATCATGACCAAATTCGGGCTACTCTAATGATACTAACCTAAAGACACTACGGAAAGTCAAGAAAACCTCATTATGAGAAACAACGAACTTCTAGGCCAGTCCATGCTTCTCGGTTCCTCTGTCATCATCTGAATAACATCACTCAAAATAACGCAATCGTACATCTATGTGAATCCTAATTCTCTGCAGCAAAACAAAAATCCGTGGCTTTAGTCCGCAAGCGAACTATACCGAACGAGCGACCGCCGCTTGTCGGCGAAGTTAGTGTCAACTTTAGCTGATAGAGGGTGTCGCGGTCAGCGCAACGAATCCCCACGGCTGTTAATTTCGTTTTTCTAGACCGGAGTCTTTATTTCCTTGAAATAGCTCCTCAATTACTCTCACGAGGCCGATTGGGCCCCGTTCAAGACCCACTACTTCTCAGAAAATCATGTATCGCCTGGAATCGAAACCGGGACCTCTAGATCTGTAGCCAGGAACTCTGACCACTAGAGCACAGAGGCGGTCCTCCTAATTCTCTAAACGTTTCAAAATTACATAATAGCTATGCATGAATGTATTTGATGTGACTGAAAATATATGATTTAGTTACTTTAAAAATTCTGATTCTATCTCAATATAAATCAGTACAGGATACATAAAATTTAAAGGACTTTAAACACGCGAATACTGAGTACGCTTGTTTGGGTTACATTAAATAACAATCCAGATGTAATCTAATATTTATGAAACATGAAATTAAATTAGTAGGATTAAAACCACTAATCACACATTCTAGATGTCTAATCTAAAGATATTACCAATCGCGTATGGAAGGTTTAATGCCTATGCTGGAAGAACTTTACCGCACGGTGACCACGTGTATTTGTTACTGAATTTGATGTCTGTTGGTCTATAAAATTATTCTACTGGACATGACATGCGTTATTCTAACCTGCCAAATCCCCGGGAAATTTCTCTGAACTTGGTTTCATTTAGACCATGTACAAACCTATTCTAATTTAATTAAAACAACTAGTTACCATACTGTAAACTACAAGCTACTATGAAAATTCCATTCCAGAATCTGACGAAAGACGTTGCTGCAAGTCAACACAAGCTCAGAATTGTGTAAGTATACAAATCCCTTTTAAGTTGAATGGAGCCACATTTGACTGACCTGTTTAAAACCACGGTACATGACTCTGATTTCCTGACGTGTGAACTTGGTCTGTCTGCAGAGATCCTCCAGGGCCACGGGTCTGTGTTTTGGGACCCTGGATGGTTCCAGCTCGAAGAGAGCCTCGTCCATGGGGCTGTCAGGAGGGGTCGCCATGGTAACACTCGCTGGAATAAATTACTCGACGACAAAAACAAATCGATCGTACAAATTTAATTACTTATTACACTATCATTGTTAACAAGCAGTGGCTGTCACTGCAGAAATCGATTTAGCGACTTGCTAGTGTTCTGCAATTGCTTTGAAACTACACACTGGGTCTCAAACTTTTTTTAAAATTAGTCTCTAACAAACGATACTAAAACACTTCTCTAAAATAACGCTGGTATAACAATACGACATGTTTTAACACGTAACGTTCCTAATCAAATATCTTCCTTTTTCATTCAAGTACTGCGAACACACGACACACAAACATATTCCAATTTTTTCTCGTCAATGCACTTCTGGCTTGTATATGTCTTATTTAAGACAATTGCTTATGAAGCTCTCAGACTCCACATTTATTTTATAAGACTTCTGACAATATGCAACGTCAATTACGTTTTACATTCCATTCAAATTTAAACATTTAGATTCACCACTTTTCCGTATTTAAAGTTGCATATTAAACACTATTTAAACTGAAAAAAAAACACCTGGTGTACGCTTGTTTTTGTTTTAAATGTTCTCCAAACGTATCACTGTGCGCTGAAATTTAATATTATTGCAATGAAAGATCACATTTCCAATTTACCGTGTTTACACTACTCGAGAGTTCTTTTCATGCTGTAAAACAATAAAATGGGTGGAGCCCGGCTAGTTTCTGTCACTCTCCCCGTTTTATCTACGACCAACCTGATAGTGTCCATTCAACTCTTTTCCTGCTGCAGACGAACGAACGCATTACATTACGGCCCGGGCTCCTTCCGTATACTACACGCTGGGTTATAATTCATTCAATATCCGCCAGGAGGCAGGATTGCCTAGCTGAACACATGCGCGCGCATTTCACCTCGACAGTTGGAGGAAATATAGGCAATGTGGAGGCACCGAGACAATGATAATAATTGTTTGGACTGGCTGAATTTTGTTCAGGGGCTGTTCAAACTGCATAATAGCGGTGCGAACAATTCTTCCTTTCTTTCGGATGCTGGCAGTATGTAGACCATATATCGTCTGATGATACGCGATGTATGAATTGGAAAGAATCTGGAAGTAAGTTGTCGCGACGTAACAGAGGTACTTCCCCTAAACCTGACAGGAGGGCCAGAGATAGCCGGTGTTCCGGCCGGGATCCGAACAGATCACCCCTGAATACAAGCCTTGAGCGTTACCTCTAGACCAATCTGTTTGGTTCTTCAATCCGATATCACAAATGTTATTACTGCGATCTCACTGCAGAATGAAGCGACTGATCTTTCAATCTATCTTTGCTAATGCTCTGAAGATTCTTAATCCTTAATTGCTCTGACTTCGACTTGAAATTGTTGTTACGTAAAGTAATAAAGTAGTAAAGTAGCAAAAAAACCTAAGTATTACGAGGATGGAATGCTCCAAAGGAAGAGCTAGCTATCCCTGTAACAGGCCATGGAGGCCCATAGGGTTGTGAGAAGCTGAGGGTCCCACATTATCTAGACAATCGGCTCACAGATGGCGGTAAGGTTGTCAGCCTTACGCGCCCGCCACCCTTTATCCTTCAGGTAATTTCCTGGTACTCATTTCTGTTAAAGGCTGAGTCGACACCAGGGTCATAATGCAGCTGGAAGGATTAGGTCAATAGAAAAAAAAAACAACCTCATCGGGACTCGAACCCGCGACCTTCCGGCTTGTAGCATAATACCCAAAGAAAGAGACCACTTGGCTCTTCAAGCCTAGGTATGTTTGCTAAGAACTGAAATTATTTAAAATGGACCCAGTCCAATGTGGACTGAATTTGACTCTGAAAAATGAAGTCCAAAGGTCGGGTCTTATAACAAGGATTTGAACCTTCAGTTTCCATATAAACAGGGAATTTATACACCTGCTGAAAACCCATGAACTTCTCAAGGAGTGCCTTGAGCTGGAACATTAGCTAATATCAAAACAATTCTAATATTATAGTATTATCAAAGCCTCGAAAATGGTCATTTTGTGGCCGTAAGTAAATATGAATACTGGTGTAAGAAGAAAGTTTAGATTTGTGTTACAATATCTGTAATCGCACAAAAATATCTGTGATATAAACTGAATTTTTAAGGTTCCATCATATAATTATAAGAATAAAGCGATGTGTTGTGCATATATAATTGTCGATCGTCTAGAAAATCTGGGAGCCTCGACATCTCAAAAACCTGTGGGCCTCTACGGCCACTTACAGAGATAGCTTTACCATTTTTTTTTTCTTTATGTCAAGTTTCTCTTCTAGAGCAATATTTTTTATCGTGCTGAGTAGCTGAGCAGATATATGTAACTCGTAATTTAAAAATAAAATACCGAGAATCTCTTTCGTGCCTAGAAATCATTTATTTGAGGAGAGAACTTCTCAGTGCGAAATTTAAACGTTGATTATTATCGTTAACATGAAATTGCAATAGGTCAGAGAGAAGAAAACAACAGGTTCGCGTGTCTCATTTGTTTCTGGGGTTATTTGATTGTTTAGAGAACCATAAATCAAGATGATAATCGCAATTTGTTTCCCACAGACTACAGCAAAATGTTCCGAAAATAACTGGATGACCACGATCCTTAAAATGGTTTAATAGGTAGGGTGAGTGAAATCAGCAGAAGTGCAAACTGAGTATCATATCCTATTGTGCCATGCCATAGCTGAAGCGGTTAGTCGCTGTCTTCCCACCGTGGCGGCCCAGGTTCGATCACGGGTCTGGGAAAGTGGGATTTGTGGTGGACAAAGTGGCGCTGGGGCAGGTTTTCTCCTAGTAATTTGGTTTCCCCTGACAATCTTCATTCGACCAATTGTTCCACAATCACCCTCACCTATCATCTGGGGCTGGCACAATAGGCCAGAAGTGGCCGCAGTACAAGGAACTTAGTCCCACCCCACTAGCAATAAAAAAATAATCATATCCTCTAGCGATTCGTTTCTGTGCACACTTCCCACTAGTATACGTTAGATTTCAACTGGGTTCAGTATATCATATAACCACAATGTGTCTCATCATCTATACATTTGCCATTGATAAACATAGAAGTTATTTCATACAGAATTTAGGGCTTATGTTGCTGACAAACGGAAAGATAAATTTAGAATCTGCGTGCCGTCATGTTGATGCTTTTTTTATTTTTATTTTACAAAATGTATACTGAAACGAAAGCTACGAGCTTGTTGAAGATTCACCACAACACAAATTCAAATGGCGCTCCAAGCTAACAAATACCTAAAACCGCCATGTTGGTATTACCGAAGGTAGGAAATTAAAAACTGCCAGCGTTTATTGTCATGATGCGCATACCATATTTAAATAAATTTGTCAGTTGTTTCAAAATTATTGTGAGGTACAGACTATAAGACTGGGACTATAAGCCTATAGGCCTATGTCCTTAAATATATAGGATGAAAAGAAATTCCCGCAGAACCTCTCCATGCGTGATTCCTCGTTTGAAAAAATCGAAGATATTGGGTAATGTAATGTCCTCTGGCATTTAGTTTTTAAGATTTACGTAACCATCAAATGGAACAGGCTATCGAATAATGAAGCTATCACCGCCTCTGTGGTCCAGTGGTCAGAGTTCCTGGCTACATATCCAGAGGTTCCGTGTTCGATTCCCGGCGCTACCAGATTTTCTGAGAAATAGTGAGTTTAGAACGGGGCCCATTCATCCTCGTGAGGACACCTGAGGAGCTATTGCAGGGAAATAGCGGCTCCGGTCTAGAAAACCGAGATTAACGGCCGTGGGGATCCGTTGCGCTGACCAGGCTGCACCCTCTATAATTTAAAGTTGGCACGAACTTCGCCGACAAGCGGCGGTCGCCCGGACGGTATAGTTCGCTTGCGGACTACAGGCCACTGAGGTTTTTTTTTTTTTTTGATGTGTTCCTCGTAGTTATAACAAGTGTTCGAAGCAGTTTTCGTCCATTTGAAGGCAGGAGGCAGCGAGCCGTGCCGCATTCTCTCGAGCACAATTTAACATGTTAGCATCGACCATTATTTCAGCTGGTTGAATCCTTTGTCGCGAGATCTTGAATCGTCCTCGGAGGTACTGCATAAATACACGTATGCTGCTTCTGGTATCCCCACAAGAAGAAGTCCATTGGAGTTCGATCCGAAGATCAGGGAGGCCATGCAATAGGATCTCGACGTCCAATCCAACTTCTTGGATATGTCGCACTCAACCGCAGCAGGACATCTTCCACACAGTGTGCTTGAGCTCCGTCACGCTGAAACCTCAACCTCTGCCACACAGCTAGAGGCTCATCTTCAGGCAGCCTAGGTAGAACAGTTTCCAGAAAATCATGTGATTGTTGAGGAGTTAACCTGTCAGCCAGAACAATGTCAACCACGATTCCAGCCCATGCGCTAACGCTGTAACAGATTAGGCAACCGCGTTAGCGGGCAGAATAAGGATTGTTCCTTGTTTCCATTCTCGCTGTCCCCGAATTTTTTTTTCTGTGGCGCTACAGCCCCAATTTGGGCCTAGGCCTACCTCCATGAAACTCTCCGTTTCACTTCGGTTTACTAGATCTTACACATACCGTAGGACTCCTTGGGCGAGTGATCAGCTCGTCGCAAGGCCTCTACCTGTAGACAAACACAGAAAAACGCACACAAACATCCATGCCCTGAGTGGGATTCGAACCCACGATCCCGGCTTCCGAGCGAGCGAAGACAGTGTACGCCTTAGACCTCTCGGCTACCGTGACCGGCGTCCCCGAATCTTACCAGTAGAATATTTCTCGAATCCAGATTTTCTTGACATAAAACGGAGTACAGCGTGTACCTGATACTTTACTATTAGTGCATAGCTCGTTTTAGGTCCGGGGCGGATGAGGGAAATTTTAATCATGTGAGGAGTCGTGGTGTGTTTTCTATTAAAATAAATTTAATAAAATCTAAAATCAAATTATTTATTGGCTAAGCACGTAGGCACAGTTAAACGGTTCGCAGCACCACGTAGGCTACGTTGTTTGTAATACACTGTTGAACGTTTGTGTTGTTTAAAATACGAAGTACCACGTTCCACGAAAACAGGAATTTATTTTTACATGTCTATAAATTTTATAGATAAAGTAAAGTGGTCCCTCGCTTAAATAATTGAGCACTACGCCATGAAGACGTATGGGGAAGCGGATGAAGAGAGCCATATATTCTTTAGCTCGGCATTAATTAGATGTGAGTTATCAGCTTCACTCCCTGGTTGCCTTATCCTTGGGGAAAGGGTCCAAGGACCGGTCTGGACAACGTGAAGAACAGAAAATTTTTGTCCGTATCAGGAGTTGAACTCCGACCCCTCGACCGTCCAGCCCGTAGCCTAAAATCTTTTCTTATTTTTGCTTCACACAGATAAGACAAAAGTACAGAAATTCTAATCTAATGCCAATTCAACGTTCATCATCTCAGTCCATACTACACAGCCCACGCAGAAATAGTGTTGTAAATTAGCCCAGAAAAAGAAAATAGATCTGCGGCACTCACTGTATACATTTTTGGTGTGTTGTAAATTCAACGAAAACAAAGAAAAGCAATTTGACTATCTCAAGTGTGATATAAATTATGTGTGTTTTATTGCGAAGGTTCTGCGTACTGTCAGAGGAAATAACATCTACATTTATTGATACAGTTCTTCACCAATCACGTCGCATGGGAAGTACAGAAGTAAAACTTTATTATAAGTGATGAATTTACACGTATCTCGTCCATAGTTTCCATGGAATCAGTGTACGGCTACTGTAAGCTCTATGAAATATTCTGTTTCGGATAAATAATTTCAGGAAACGATCTTCAGACCTTTCGTCTCTAAAGTAGTGGAGTTGCCCTGCTTAATTTTTAAATAGTCTTATACTTCACCTTCTTCTACATTGACGTATTAGGACCTCTGGCCTGCTTCCATCAGAATTATTCTAGTACTATGGATCATATAGACAGATGGCAGGACTCATTGGGAGGGTGATAAGCCCATAGCAAAGCCGCTACCTATACAGAAGAACACAAACATAGAAAAAATGCTGACAGATGTTCACCCCTCGAGGGTGATTCGAACCCACGATTCCGTAGTTCGAGCGGGCGAAGATATTTCAGATCTTAGACCTCACGGCCAGTGTGATCAGTATGGTCTTTAAGTAAAGTAACAACTTTTAAGGTATGCTATTTTCAGCGTTATTTCCTCCTCTTGCAAGATTCCAATAACAGAGAAAGTATGTGTATCTCAAACTGGTGATTACGCAAGATATCATAAGAACGGGTCAAGTTGTGTGCAGATAAAGCTATACTTAATGATTCACTTGGCTCCTGCATTTACACGAAGAGTCGGAGAGCTCTGTTGGTGGTCGCCTCTCCAGGCGGTCTCTCATGGCCTACTTTCAGTGTTCAAAAGATAGGATTCGTTTGCGTGCGGTGTCAAAGGACATATACATTATAGATTTTTGTGCGATAATTAAAGGAAAAGGTGAGATCGTTCCTTTCAAATTCTGACACGGTGGCCTACAAAGAACATAAGTGTCTTATATGTTCACAGACGGAAACAGTTTTTTTCAACCGAGATTAACGGCCGTGGGGATCCGTTGCGCTGACCACGTGACACCCTCTCTCCGCAAATGTTGGCACTAACTTCGTCGACAAGCGGCGGTCGCTCGGTCGGTATAGTTCGCTTGCGGACTACAGACCACGGAGTCTGTTTTTTATGTATCCGAAAAAAACATGAAATCTCTTCCATGTCAGATATTTCCAAAAATCCGTTTATTTAACCACGTCGGAAGCACGCAAACTTTCGCAGAAGCTCACAAATCTAATTCAGGTTTTAAATGAATGTTATCCATGATAGTAAAATTTATCACAAGGACATTCTCAGTAGTACCGATATATACAAATAACGTGATTCTACATATCCCCGAAAAATGTGACATTTAGAAGAAAGAGGGAGTCGCTGATGGATTGTAGAACGTTATCGAACTAAAGAGCGCCTGTGGTCGAGTGGTCAGAGTTCCTGCCTACAGATCCAGAGGTTCCGGGTTCGACTCCCGGCGCTACCACATTTTCTGAGAAGTAGTTGGTCTGGAACGGGGTCCACTTAGCCTCATGAGGATAACTGAGGAGCGCTTTCAAGGAAATAGCGGCTCCGGTCTAGAAAACCGAGATTAACGGCCGCGGGGATCCGTTGCTCTGACCACGCGACACCCATTATCCGCAAAAGTTGGCACTAACTTCGCCGACAAGCGGCGGTCGCTCGGTCGGTGTAGTTCGCTTGTGGACTACAGACCATGGAGTTTATTGAACTAAAGATGCGGAACAAGTATTGACAGCATAATAAGTAAAGATGTTAAGATTCGAATTTGTGATCTGATATGAAATATAATGCAGGAGCTGGGCAGTCTGGGATCGATTTCCAGGAAGGCATAAATTTTAATTTCTCCCTCAGATTAGTATCTCCTCCTACTGGGATCTCTTTTTCCAAAGCAAGAATCTGACCACTGCCCTCCCCCCTCAAATTTAACGGTCTAGAACAAGTCTAGTGCTACTTCCAGGGATTAGAAAACATGTTACTTCCACGTCATCCATACCCCATCATGATGTGCCATTACCGGATTTACATAAAAGCTTGATAGGCTAAAGCTTAGGGCCTGGCAATCTGAGGAGCCTATAAATACCGGAAAGAAAAATCACGGACGGTACAGCACATTCTCTTGTAAATCTCGGAACATAATAAAAGTCTGAATGTTTCTCGTCAGATTGGACTGATGGATACAACACGCGGGAACAGCTGCAAAAATCGAAAACAGATTAGGGGTGGAGTAGGCATTGCTTTTTCCGGTGCAGCTGTGTGATTCTTGCCAAGTAGCGTATCCTTATCATTACATATACAACGGCATATATTTCATTCTTATGTAAAAAAATTATTGGGGCCTCATCTTTATTATAACTCAGACCCTCGCTAAGTCTTAATCCTGCCCTGCGTTGTGTTTCGGAACAAACTTCACCCTTAAACGCACGAACCTAGATACATACAGCTTGGTGAAGGACAAGAATGGTGATCTGCCTGCAGACTCCCATAACATTTCAGGTAGTTCGAAGTATTATTTCTTTCGGCTATTGAATATATTTGGGGTTAACGTTATTAGGCATACTTACCTCTGTGCTTAATGAAGGACGAAGTCATGAAGATGCATGAAAGATTGGAAGTATAGCTCCACACATTCTTAACGTTGGCACTATATGGAGATGAGTGGTCAGCTTCACGCTCTGGCAGGTTAAATTCCAAACCTGACTCATCAATTCTGTTAAAACCGCAGCCAGAACAAACGGTGCTATTGCACCTGTGGAAATTTTGGGGCATTCGACCAAATCAACTGCAGAGGTAATTTCTAAAATTATTTTTCCAAAGCAAAACAAATTACGAATTAATTGAAGAAGGTATTTAAAGAAAAATATGCTTGTTGTGTTAGTTTTCCTGCACAATAAATTTATATGAAAACTGTTCGTCGCCGTTTTCGTTTTATGATATGCTATAGCATGTAAATAACTTTGATGTGATATACTTCTTGATGACGAAAGCATATACGGGAAAATTAAGAGCACCTTCCATTTATTACGAGTGTACTCCATTTATATTTCATACTCTAATAAATATTAGCAAATGTAATGTCAAATTACATTTAAAGTGCTTTCAGAATGAAGCAAACGAGCAAATGTTATGAAGAGTACTATCATGTGGGATATAATGCTGTGTAGTCTAATAGAAGTCTACTGACGTTTCGGAGGAACACGCATTACCTTCGTCTTCAGGGTCGAAGAGTACGCCAAGCAAGAAATCTGCAAGGTGGAAGCGTTCGACTTTCAGCCTGCTTCTGGTTTCTTGCATAGATTACCCTTTGACGCTGGTGGTGGGAGAAATATGTTACTTTGAAACGGACCGGTCTGCAGGTTGTGGAGTGGAGGAAAGTGTGGTGAGCGTGGTGATGTTTACTTTTTCTTGTCAGATGTACCTATTATTCAACGATGTTTGCAACAATCGAATGGTTCGATAGTTTTCATTTCAGTGTGCGCAGCGCTAGAGACGCTTGACATGTGTCTGCTGCAGGCGTATGGTGTACTTATTTAATTTAGGTCAGAATTTAGGTTGACACGATGTTCACCAGTCGTCAGGTAACAAAATTCATTGTTCGAAAATTAACAAAGCGTCGGATGAATGACTTTCCATTACTAACGGAAAGAAATGATTGTCAGTATACTAGCCGAACTGATTTGTTGAGGTTAAGAACCGTACCAGTTTCTCCTCCATATCCACATCACAAGTTTCACCAAGATATGGTGCACTGCTGCGAAAAGAAGGGTGCTGAAGAATCATTAGAAGTGTGTAATGAGAAAAGTGGAAATATTGTACATACTGAAAGTGGGTATATAAAAGATGCTGATAAGCCAAAGTCGGAAGACAGTGAATTACAATCGCAACAGTTTGTTGCTAAAATAACAGGACGATTCCAGCTCATATATACATGTAAAAAGTGTAACACTCGTAATGTGGCACATATATCAAAACTTTCATACCAACAAGGGGTTGTGATTGTATGTTGTCAAGGGTGTAGTGTTAAACATTTGATTGCCGATAATCTGAAGTGGTTTTCTGATAAGAAGAAAAATATTGAAGACATTCTTGCAGAAAAGGGTGAATCTGTAACTAGAATTACTTCACAAGAAGTTTTCCTTGAAGTTTCCCCACCAGGTACACCAGATCCACTGCCGAAGGAAGACAAACAGACTAAAACAACAGTGGTTAGCAGAGAATGTGTATAGATCATTCTAATTGTAATGGGGGGGAAAAATCTGATACTAGATATTTTGTATAATTGTTTTGGAACAACATTAAAGGACCATTTTGCATCTGAGTATTTTGGTTTTTGTAAATACCTTGTGTAACTAATTTAACTAAGACTATGAAACATAACTTGCATAAGCCTTAAAAATGGTTTCCCGGATCTTTTGGACATTACTGGTTGGGACTTTTGTAGTTTAAATTAAAGACAGTGGAATTCATAGAATAAAGTTTAAAATTTCTCTTGTGCAGTACAGATCTTAGGTTATAAAAATAGGCCTGTATTTCACTCTGCATCCTCACCCAGTTACAGCAACTCCTTGCCAATGTCCATTATTCACAAGTACCACAAAAATAGGATAGCATGATTTTATACAACAAATAAATGAACATCACAAGAATCAACAATATTTGCCACATCAATTTGGTGTTGCCATTTGTGCTAATGATATCAACTGTGATCTTGCATTTTGCATATACCGTATTTACGCATGTATAGGCCACAGCACAATTTTCAGACAAATTATAGAAAAAATAATTTTCTTGGAATATTATTTCAGGAGTATTACACCCTGTATTACTAATTATGAATATAATTTTTTTTAAATGAAGTGTGATTTCGCATATAAGCCGCACCCCAGTTTTCCTCTTGAATTTTTGGCAAAAAATGTGCGGCCTATACATGCGTAAATACGGTATTCAGTTTTCTTTCAATACAGTTTCTCCCTGACATGTTACAATTAACACATTACATTAATCATCACATTTATAAGTACCTCACCACATATGATGATTGGCTCCTAAGCTACATTTGTTTTGCATCTAAAAACTGTTCTGTTATGGTTTTATGTCCTAGGCATCTGATAACGTCAGTTAGAAATGCAGTGTTAATACTTTACAATCCTATTAACAGAATTATGTGACTTATGCCTTAATAATTCTTTCTAAATCTTGATGAAGTAGGTACTACATATTTCATAATTCCGTTCATAGAGAGATAGGATTGGATTGATCTGGCTCAGGATAGGGACCAGTGGAGGCTCTTGTGAACATGGTAATAAACCTTCGGGTTTCATAAAATGCTGGGAAATTCTTGAGTAGCTGCAGAATTGGCAGTTCCTCCAGAGGGGCTCAGCTCCATGAGTGAGTTCATTCAGTCATTTATTCACATTCCATGGATCCTTATGTGACTGAAAGACCAGTAGATATAAAAATAGTCAAAGACAACAGAACAAATCCCATCAGTTATATAAATAAAATTAATTATACTTAATTCATAAAAATTACACATATTTTCTCTGGCTTACCTGATTACTGGTGTTTTTATGAAAGCATTCATGGAAGAGCGTTTATCCTATATTGTTTTATGGTCATATCAAGGTATTAAAGGACTACAATCATTTCTTTGTAAGTTGTTAACAGAATAGGATGTATCATTCAGTCCAGGTTTTCTTTTGTATACCTATAGAAGCCAGGATAGGTCAGTGTAAACCAATGACCTGAGCCTGGATGGATAGGGTTTGAATCCCAGTGGTGGCAAGAGATTTTGCTATACTCCACCAAGTCCAGACTGGCTCTGGCCCACCCAGCTTCCTAGCCAACAGGTACCAGGAGCTCTCCCCCCAGGGGTAAAGCACCAAGACAGTCAACCATGAGGTGACTTTGACTACTTAATGTTTTAATGAAGTACTTAACCACTCTAACCTGTGGACTAACTCATGGTAAAAGCAAAAAGAATTATCTCAGGATTAACAGGATTGGTCAAGACAATCAAGTATATATTGGACAAATTATACATCAAGAACTGCAGAATGTTAGATCTAAAGTTTATTTCTCAATGCCTTTTACATTAAGGCAGGTCTTGACTGCAGTGAGAAATACAATCTATCACTTCTTAATTTACAATTTCCATTTCACCCAAACATTTTTTTTATCTGGCAGATGTATTAGACATCAAGGTCTCCATGAACGCCCATTCACTTCTCATCGAAGAAAACCCCTTAAAATGAATATCTTCAATTCATTCTAAAGCTAGAACATATTCATAGTATACCATTTCTATGAAACTTCCCAGGTATGATTTAAAGATCCCCCTTCACACAGAAGACTCACTCACTCAGTCCTTGGATGAACAGTCTCTAAGAACTTGGCCTCCTCTATGACTGCCCATTCTTTTCTGCCTCCATCTCTTCAAGTTCAGCTCTCATAAATCATTCTCTACATCTTCCAGTAATCTCTGTTTGGGCCTTCCCACTTCTCTTCTTAGTGCTACTGTCCTGAATAAACTGAGCACATCCCAAGTAGCAAGATATGACTCATTGTTCTTGTGGCCTTTCGTTGTTTCCCCTGAATTAATTTCTTGGCATCCATCGTTAGGCAAAAGTTTCTCTGCCACATGGAAAATCTGTACAGTTGTGCCCCGTCAAGTTACTTTTCTCTTTTTAGTAGTGGTCACAACTCAAAGAAAGGGCTAATCTAATTACAGTATCTCTACTGTCACTATAACTTCAATGCAAGAAACAGACTGGTGTGAACAAATGTGAGGGTATAAAAAGGATAATTTTGTTTTAATTTTAATAATTTCCTTCACTTTGTATATGACAATGGTTTTACGGGTTTCTTGGAAACACTACTTTTAAAAAATGGCATAGTTCAGAGTTGCCAAGAGCAGGCTGCATAAAATGAATCACAATGACAAAGGTTTAGAATTTACAGCCACATGACGCATTACTACCGGTTTAGATGAACAAAAAAGTACAAAACACACAAAAAAGATAATAAACAAGATGCTGTCCAGAAAAGTGCTCCAGCATGTCCCTGGGTAGAGCAGACTGGACTTGCATCTTATGCAGCTATCAACTGTTTTGTATCTCAAGCCTGTTGCATTTTTACAAAGCTTATGTAGCGTACAGTGAACAAATGTAATATTTATCAGCGTGAGTACTTTGAACACGAATTTATTTACACCATGACGCTTCATTTCCACTCTTAAACATTATACCAGCTTCTTTGCTTCAAAGAAACTCTTGAGATGCCTCATTTGCCATGCTCCCATGACCAGTAAGATGCATGTCTGTGTAATGGACCACCACAAGACTCTCTGGTTAGTGCTCTCACTTGTCTGCCGGAAACGTTCCTCTCGATACTGTACAATAAAATGAAATGATTCTGGATTATTGCAAAATAACACAATGATGGAATGTTTTCAGTAAGTGACAAAACCAAAGAGAACTTGCAGAAACATAACATCATCCTGAATTCTAGTGGACCTGCAAGCAAGCAGGTCTCTCTCTGCTTGCTATGGTAATGTAAACATCCTCATATCCTACAGACATTACAGGACTTACCAAATCTGCATGAAAAATCATTAAAATTCCATAAATTACATTCATTTTTGACAGTTTCTTTTTATGACAATTTAAATCCCCATCTCTTTTGTTGTGAGATTATGTGGAACTACTTAAACCCTTCAGCACTGATAAGCTAAGGCTTATTGACTGAGTCAGTCACGTTATATTTCCTTGACGTGCCACAATTATTTATATTCCAAGTTCATATATCCCTTGCTGTTTCAGAATATCTGAAATATAAATATTTTTACACAAAATGTGATGTTTTGTGGTTTCCATGGCACAAATGAGTACAGGGCTAGATCGTTACCCACTAGTAACTAAGTGGCAATACTTTTATTTCTTCTCAGTTAATAATATTATTTAATAAGAAGGCATGGTCTTGTATTTCATGAAAGCAACAACTGTAGTGGACCAAAGCCTAAGAAAGTTTTCAAATGCATTCCTTGGTTACTAAAGTAAATTATATAGGTAGTAAAAAAGTAAAGGTATCCCTGTAACAGGCCATGAAGGCTCATAGGGTTCTGAGATGTCAAGGCTCTCACATTTTCTAGACCAAGGGTCTCCAAACTACGGCCCACGGGCCATATGCAGCCCGCGAAAGAATTGTGCAGAAATGCGCCAAGTGAACTAATTTTCCAGTGAGTACTGGTAAATGTGATTCCGAGCTTATTGACCTGACATATTATACTGCATTTCGATGGCTTCGCTGTGGAAAGGTTATTTCACGCTTCTTTCAGCTCAGGAATGAAACTGATATATTTCTTACCAAGAAAAACCATCACGAACCACTTTTATCAGATACCGAGTGGCTTTGGAAATTAGCATTTTTGCTGATCTGGTAAACCATATGAACCATTTGAATTTAAAGTTGCAGGGTGAAAATAACTTAGTCTGTGATTTATTTGCACTTATCAAGGCGTTCAGAGCAAAGTTGATACTTCTGGAAAGCCAAGTGAAAAATTGTAACTTTGTTCATATGCTATACTGTGCAGAGTTGCATAAAGAGGGTGAAGCAGAATTTCATTCCTTGTTTGCAAATTTAGTCATTTTAGATTTGAAAGAACAATTTCGGAAGCGATTTGCTGATTTGGATGCCAGTGCTCAGGAAATTAGATTGTTTCAAAATCCATTTGACTGTGATGCTGCAGATATCCCAAGTCAAATTCAAATGGAAATTATTGAACTTCAGGAAAATTATCATATTAAAGACAAATACAAGGAAGGAAATTTGATCAAATTTTATAAATTTCTGAACTCTGAGCAATTTCCAAATTTAAAGAAATTTGCTTGTAAATTTATCTCCATTTTTGGGACGATGTATCTGCGTGAACAAACTTTTTTCCCAGATGAAGTACATCAAGTCGAAATACAGGGCAAATTTACCCGATTAACTTTTAAAGTCGCTACTTGTGATTAGCATTTCAAAATTTGAACTTCAATTTAATCAGGTTTTAAGAATGCAAAAAGAGTTCCATCATTCACATTAATTGTTTTAATATAATTTGTGATGAAAATATGAGCATTTGCTGCTACTTTCTGTTGCCATTAATATACGATAATTTATTCTCACGTACTTTGTATTTAGTTTATGAAATTCTGTGCTTTCAATAAAACTCATATACCTAGAGTTATTAATTTCTCATTTCATCCGGCCCGTTGAAAGTGCTGAATTACCTAATGTGGCCCACGGTTCAAAAAGTTTGGAGACCCCTGTTCTACACAATCGGCTTACAGATGGCAGTAAGGTTGTAAGCCTTAGGTGCTGGCCGCCCCTTATCCCCAAGAATATTCCTGGTACTCATTTCTGTTAGAGGCTCAGTCGACCCAAGGGCCATAGTGCGGCTGGAAGGGTTAGGTAACTAGAAAAAAATCCGCCTCATCGGGATTCGATCCCACAACCTTCCAGCTTGTAGCATAGTGTCTCAACCAACTACGCTACTGTGTGCCCCATGTAAATTATATAGGCAATGTAAAAGTTTCTTTAAATAAATTCAATTTCTGATTCTTAAACATCTATGTATCCAGTCCATCAATAATGCAACAATTGTTTATTCACCATTTAACACTTAAGGCAACATGTTTAATTTTTAATTTTAGTACAAAAATTTTTATGGATTTTAATTAATTATTTTTGTTATTTTTAAGTGGTTTTGGTGCACATCAGATCAGTGTAACAGTTTGGATGCAGTGAGACACTGAAGATGGCCATCTATGGCCAAAACATGTTGTGTTATGGGTTAAATGGTGAATAAACAACTGTTGCATTACTGATGGCCTGTGGATACACAGATGTTAAATTAAAGAGTTGCAACAGGATGCTGAAATACAGAATTCTGATTCTTTTTTAAACATGAGTTTCAAGAAAATAGATGTCCCTTCTTTGGCAGCATCTGATAGTTCAACAGTCCCAAAGAATTATACAATTAATGGCAAATTATTCCATATCATGTATTTAAGATGAACTGAGGAAAATGTTAGTTCACTGCTGTTAAGTTTAAGAAATGACAGCACTGTATATTAAGCTTACCCTCTGGTAGTTTTGTTCTTTTGTTATTTGTTCCACTTGGTCCAGAAGTTGTCTTACTCTTAGCTGGAGCTCAGAAAGCTTCTCTCTCTGGGCCACATTTGCATAGTCAATAGCATGTTCACCCACTTGGATATCTAGATGTACACGCTGAAAAGGGAAATAGTTGGCAATGCATGTACATACTGCTAAAACATGGCCACCCTTCAGTCAGTTTTGGGACATGGGTGTAATGGCTTGTGTACAAATGCTGTAGAAGGGGAAGGCCAGCAAGAAACACCCTGTACACCACTCTCACAAGTGAAGCTGTTCTGTCATTAACACGCCATAATTTTCATTCTTGTTAACTTCTATATATCCATGATATGTATACGGTGGCCATCTTGTAGTGCACTCAATTTCACCTGTTACTTCACGACATGTTTCGGCAACATAGTGCCATCATCAGGTGCCCTAATTACACTAATCTATTTCATTGCTTGCCTTTATATATCTTTATAAAATTATTAAAAAGGTGTGTATTTGTCAACTATAATAAATTTTCACACACTAAAACTTGTTAAGATTATTGATCTTATGTGTCTTAATTAAAAGTTGCNAAGAACAAAAAAGGACAAGGTAGAATAACTAAAGAGTTCAGATTAGCTAGATCTTATAGCAAGGAAAACGTACAATATCTAAACTATTTACTAGGAAAGGAGACCTGGGAGCATGTTCTTAAACAAAATGAGGCAAATGATGTATACAATGAATTTTTAGGCATCCTCTTCATAGCTTAATGAAGGAAGGAAACACATCTGAAGAACTTAAAAACTATTATAACCAATACAAAATAATATACAACAAAATTATCAGTGAGGCTAAAAAATTAAGCAACAACATGCAAATACGATCATCTGGGAACAAATCAAAAGCCATGTGGGATTTAATCAAAGAAGAATTAGGCAGTCAGCAAAAAGTTCCAAAGAACACTGAATTAGGAGTGAATGGAACTATACAAGATCCAAAAGTTATAGCCAATGTTTTTAATGAATACTATACTAACATTGCCCAGCACATCCAGAGTAACAATCCGACAGCACAAAACAATGAAGACAGGATCAACACAATAAAATACAACAGCAATAGCATGTTCTTAACCCCAACCACTGAAAGGGGGGTGGTAGACATAATTAAAACACTGGGTAACAAAATATCAATGGGCACTGATGATATTCCAGAGTTCATTATTAAAAAATGTCATCCTCAACTAGTAAATACTCTAACATACATAATAAATCTGTCATTTTCATCTGGTTATTTCCCCGACCAACTAAAAATAGCAAAAGTGAAACCCTTGTATAAGAAAGGTTGTACTGCAGATGTTGGGAACTACAGGCCAGTGTCATTAATTTCGGTTTTTTCTAAAATAATCGAAAAAATTATGCACAATAGACTTTTATCATTCATAAATAAGTACAGCATAATCAACAATAAACAGCATGGATTCTGCAAAGGAAAATCAACACATACAGCAATCACAGAATTTACAAAAACGGTTTACAAGCACTGGATGAAAAAGGAACGAGTACAGGGATATTGTTGGATTTATGAAAAGTGTTCGACCTAGTAGATCATGATATATTAGTAAGATGGAAAGAATGGGAATACTAGGGGTTACACTAAGGTGGTTCCAAACATACTTAGAAAACAGAGAACAAGAGGTAGAAATTACATACAGATGCAAAAAAACTAATCGAAAACATTAATTACCTATCCTGAAAGAGACCCATCAGCTATGGCGTCCCACAAGGTTCCGTTCTGGGACCAGTGTTGTTTCTGTTATATATAAACAACCTGGAGCCCAGCAGAGAACATGGGAAACCTATGTTCTTTGCCAATGACACTAACATTTTTATAGCAGGAAATAGCGCTAACAAAATTCAAAGGAAAACGAATGAAACAATAAACAAAATCACAGAATGGTTTGAGAGGAATCAACTAACTATTAATAAAGAGAAAACAATAGCAATAACCTTTCATCATCCTCAAAAACTACAACTTGAATGCCCTCCAATAAAGATTTATGACACTGTTATCAACTACACAGATCACTCAAAATTTCTGGGAGTCTGGCTAGATAAGCATCTAAGATGGACTATGCATACGCAAAAGCTAGCGAACAACTTATGTAAAGTATGTTTTGGCCCAAGGGTAGTTAGAAGAGTAACTGGACTAGAGACTGTCCGCACGTTATATTATGTTCATTTCCAATCTTTGTTATCATACGGACTGATATTTTGGGGGAACTCGGTAAATGCAAAATTGATCTTTTAATTACAGAAGAGAGCTATAAGAGCTATGACCCAGGTCCCAAAAGCGACCAGTTGTAAACAAATTGTCAAATCATTACATATATTACCTCTACCATCTTTGTACATATACGAAACTCTAATATACATAAAATCCAATTCAAATGATTTCACAACCAACTCAGGATTACACTCATACAACACAAGGAAAAAAGATGACTTGCACATCGTCCCATGTAATACAAGTCTATGCAAGAACAACTTTAACAATGTAGGACTTCGACTGCTAAATCATCTACCGCGATATATTAAAGAAATACCAGTACTATATAAGTTCAAAAACGCTTTGAAAACTTACCTGCTCGATCATTGTTTTTACAAAGTGGATGAGTTTCTCTCGTGTGAGACAAACACCAATCAATTATAATCATATAATTCATGAATAATCAGTTTTGGGAATCCCTACTGTGCAGTTTTCCTTTCTTTTTTCCAGCAACCAAGATAACACAGTCGGAGATGTACCTGAATGGGCTACTCTGGAGAGATTGCAGATACCAAGAAGCTGCACCAGGTAGGGATAACAGATGTAATGAGATGTTGCAATATAGAGTCTACATTGAAACGTTATACCAGTGCTATCACCAAATTCACCAATATTATCTCAAAAGGCCACGCCACAGCTTAAGTGGTTAGTTGCTGGCTTCCCACCACTGTGGTCTAGTCAAGTGGGATTTGTGATGGACAACATGGCACTGGGGCAGGTTTTCCCCGAGTACTTAGGTTTCCCCTGCCAATCCTCATTCCATCAAATTCTCCATAAGCATTATCACCAGTACATGTACAATAGGACATATGGAAACTGACATGCTGAGAGGACCTAATATGGATTCCACCTCACACTATACAAACTCTAAACTATTGTAATCAGCCAATGTACAGTAACTGACTTGTCCTATATCATGTAACAATGATCTTTAGAGACGAAATAAATAAATAAATTAAGGCACACCGATTTCTCAATTTTCCACTTACCAACTGTGAACCACTAAACCACTTACTGCTGTTGGAATAAAGGCATATAATATGTTCACCTGGAGTGTGGGATGTAAAGGATATCCTTCCTTCCGAACTGTAAACCTGCAAAAGAAATTTTAAGTAACTATACACCTATTTATAAAGATTCAGCTGATGACTATAAGATGGTGCATAATTATGTTCACTTACTCTCGAAAGGATTGTTTTATCATCGGGATCGCGTGCCTCTACATGCATACCAATTCCGGGACTCGAGGGCATGAAGCCGCCACTCTTTGGATCAAAGAGTTCCACTTTGTAATTTACTGCAAATATAGCAGATTTCGTACATATCATCCATTATGTGTATTTCCAACAACGTTCACAATTATGCATATTACAGGCGAAAAAAATAATTTCCAACACAAACATATTACATACCAATAACAGTGGTCTCATCCGGAATTTCTTCAATAAAACATTTTCTCTCTGTTTCTCCTATATGAAAATACAATCCTGAACATAGAGGAAGCAAAATTAATTCGGAAACTGTCAAAATACTATATAATTTCAACATAGTGAAAATAGAACTGGAAACCAGAAATACAAACAAATCCGACACACGTCATCCACCGGAAATTCATTTACTGAACAAATTGTACTTACCTGCATAAGCTCTTAAAAATACCTCAAATAATACAGTAACTGTTATAATTCAAAGGATTTAAATAATATAAAAATGTTTCTTTCGAAGTATTATATTAATAATAAACCGCAACCTACTATTATAAAATTAGTCTTGATTAACGTTGTACTTCAATCAGGGGTGTCACCAGTGTTCACAAACGTCACGAACGGTCCCGAAGACCTACGTCAATGGTGCTGTGTAGTGTAATGTGACGAAGAATGGATCTAATTTTCTTACTTGCAATTGCATCTGGCTTAATTGTTCTTATATTTATTGTTGCACTTCTTAAGCACCGCACTGCCAAAGGTAGTGTTTCAAACTTACGTCAGCACAGTACGCAGTAATGCTAGAATAACTACAGGCAGCTGCCAGTGAAGTAAGGTTAGGAATGTCAGACGTAAGAGTATGGAGATAAAGGTGCTTCTGAAGTTGTGTCAATTTTTGCAGAATGGCTACAAGCATTTATGTAAGAGTAGGTGTATTGGGCCTAATATACATGATCCATACCAACGTAACCTTGTGACATGACACTGAATTCAATTTACATTTGATCATGACCTAACAATCAGAAAGTACCTTTCATGTACAATTACATATAAGTACTCGTATGAAGTAAGTTGAAGTCGCACATTAAACAGAAAATAAAATATGGCCCATATTTTAACTCAGCTAAGCTACCCTTGATTGATTTGGATGTGTATACATACAGTTATTAGAACAATTAAATCAGTTCCAGAAACAGCTCCAGTAAGGGGTGCACCTCCAGCAAGGGCTCACAATGGACAAATTCCAAGAAGGGCAATTGGTGCACGCAATGCAAGGGCAAGGCTGAGGGCAACAGGTACAGATTATATTGCATTTTTATCCTTTGAGACAGAAAGGTCATTCCTTACAAAATATGTCATTTCAGACTTAATTGAAATCACACAAATAAGTGATGTGAGAAAATTTTTAATTTATATCCCCATGAAACAAAGTAAGTAATCCTCAATATTAGGTCTGTACATGATATAAATTCAGTGTATTGTTATTCTTTGCTGTTGCAGTGGTTTCTGAATGCCCATATTTTTAAGATCTAATCTTGTGCAGGGATGCTTCTGCAAGTAGAGCTAAGATTTTATAAAGAGGTATACATATATATCTGAACTGCAGGGTAATGTACTTGAAATTTAGGGGCAGAAACACAGGCTCCCTTATCAGATCTTCAGTCTTAAATACAAAATACACTTAAGTAAAGTACAGAACAGTGCTTCCCTCATTCATTCTTCAAAGACCTGAGGACAGAAGGGGTAATAATTTCTCTCTTGATGAGTTCTCTTTTCCTATTTAGCTCATCAGCATAATGATGCAGATGAGGATGGAGCTGCACAAGACCTGATTGAAGATAACGAATTGCTGGATGGGAAAATTGGAGCAAAAAAGCGAGCCAAGCTCGAAGCAAAAGCTGAGCGCAAAGCTCAGAGAGAGGTATATTATACTGGATTTTAATTTGGCTTGTATTAAATATAACATACCTTTCCTGTTTTTTGTGTGCTGAGTCTTAGATGAATCCTCCAAACTCAAACACCAAGGATATGATAAGTGCTGCTCAGTCAGGTCTATTGCACACCTCATGGGATGGTGACCGACAAGTGTGGAGCAGGATGATGATTAACAGGGAGAATAAAGGAACTCAGGAACATCCACCAGTGCCCCTCTGTCCACCATAAATCTCAGATGAAGTCATCCCAGACCGAAGGCAAGGCACTGTGGTGTTAAGCAAGCACATAACAGCCTCAGCTATGGCAGAACTGAAACAAACTCCACTGCTTTTAATCCGCAAGTAAACAATATTGACCGAGCGACTGCCACTTGTTGACGAAGCTAGTGCCAACTTTATAGTGGATAGAGGGGTGTCACGTGGTTAGCACAACGGATCCCCTCAGCCGTTAATCTTGGTTTTCTAGACCAGAGCCTGTATTTCCTTGAAATAGCTCCTCAATTATCCTCACAAGGCTGAGTGAACCCCGTTCCAGACCCACTACTTCTCAGAAAATCTAGTAGCACTGGGAATTGAACCCAGACCTCTGGATCTATAGCCAGGAACCCTGACCACTAGACCACAGAGAGTCGAGCTATGGCACATCCAAGTGAATTATTAAATTACAGCATGTCTTTGTTGCTGAAGGACTGGAGGAAATTCATTATGATTCAATTCATAAGCTCCAAGCTGGTATTCAGAATACTAAAGAACTATAAAATATCATAAGTAAGCTCAGGATAGTTTCACATTATAATGTTTAAAATAGAACTTACAGAGAATCTCTTCTGCATATATGCTGTTGTACATGGTGCAATACATCTACGCTCTGTGTCTGCAGGTGGAAGAGAAATCCAGAGAGGAAAGGAAGAAGAGGCAGGAACAAGCAGAGGAGGAAAGACTGAGAGCTGCAGAGAGGGAAAAACAAGAAGAGGAGCAACGACTTGAAGAAGAAAGGAAGGCACGTGAGGAAAAGGAACGTCAAGAGCATGAAGAGTATTTGCAAATGAAAACTGCGTTCAGTGTAGAGGAGGAGGGTTATGAAGGTGGCAGAGAAGATGAACAGAACAATCTACTTCAGGACTTTATAAATTACATCAAGGTATTGAATGTTCATATTTTCATTCCTGATTCCTGCAGTAGCTAGATATACTCTCATTCCTTGTAAGAAAAATAAATCAGTTTCCCAGAAACATACCTACAAATTTGCTATAAAAGACTGTTACACATCAACAATTACAGACATGGCACTGGTTCATACTCACTGAAATTATTTCTGAGAAGTTTAATATAGAAACTCTTCTAGTGAAAATTATGCACAGAAGCATTCGAAGGATAGAATGTTCCCAAGTTGATCCCAGCACTTCTTATTACAGAACATGAAGGTAGTTGTGTTAGAAGATTTGGCTGCCCATTTTAAATTGAAGACACAAAATGTTATTGACAGAATCCAAGAGCTGCAAGTTGAAGGACTGCTTACAGGTATGTTCACTTTGTTATAATTCTCACCTACATTTTTGCCTGTATAAAAATTTTCGTGTGTGTTGGATTCAGTATGTTATTCTTTTGACACATAGTCAGATTCCTAATGTGGTGGTCCAGGTTCAATCCCAGGTCACATTTTGTGGTGGACAAAGTGGCACTGGAGTAGGTTTTCTCCATGTACTTCAATTTTCTCTGCCACTTCTCATTTCGCCAACTGCTCCGCATTCGTTAATCATCAACTCTGTATAGCCTCTGTACTAACGGTGTCATTAACAGCCATGCCATAGCTAAGGTCATTAGTTGCCGACTTTCCACTGCAGTAGCCCAGGCGGAATTTGTGTTGGGCAAAGTGGCACTGGGGCAGATTTTCTCTCAGTACTTTAGTTTCCCCTGCCAGTTCTCATTTCACCAAGTGCTCCGCACTCATTATCATATGGGGCTGGTATAATAGGCCAAATAGTGGCAAGTGTATCAAGCGGACTCACCCCACCCCAAGAAGAAAAAATCATTAAATAAACTCTAAAAAACTACCCAATTTTGGGTTCACTTACTTTCTGTTAAAGCATTTAATTTTATTAGTTCAAGTTATGTGTATGTATGACATTTATGCAAGAATTCCTGTTCAGCATACTGATTTTGTTTTATTTGTGGTTTACTTGTTTTCTATAGGGCAGACTAAAGGATGTTCAGTGATGGATGTAGATGCGTCTAAATTTGCCATGAGAAACTGTCAATGTTTCCGATATTTTGGAGTGTATTTGACTGCTATTGCATGCTAAAAAGTGCAAAACCATGTGACAGCAGGGAAAATGTGCTTAGCAAATGGGGTAGTAGTAGTCTATATAGGAAATGCATTGTTAGTAATGCAAATTTGAACCTTTCCTCCAAATAGTGCTATCAGGACCATCTTAATTAGAATCCCCATTTAAGATTTCTTTGGGCTCCAATGTATTTGAACACTAAAGTGAGGAGAAAATTAAATTATAGAAAACCTTAAATGGGGGTTTCACTGTCTAGGAAAAGAAAAATGAAAGATTTGATGTCACACGGGTGGAGATGTTGGAAGTAACAGCCAATAAACAATACAGTCAGTCCTTAATGCTGGATGCACAAGACATTACACGACAACACAGAGCAATGTCATCAAAATCTGTCAATTAGAATTTTAAAAATGCATGAAATCTAAAACTGTAAAATGTAGTAGTGCTGTCCTGCAAATTATCTTTTAGGGCAAAGCAGTAGGGCCTTTGTTCCCATTGTGAGCATATTAAAATACATGGCACAGTTGAGTGGAGGCCTGATAGTATAGTGACTGGCTATGGGCTGGCTGACCACTCACCTCCAGCTAGTGCTGTGGTCAAGAAAATGTGGACCTGTTCATCCACTCCCCCATGTGCCTTCATGTCGTAGTGCTCGACAGATAAGCAAAGGGACAACATTACATTTACAGTTGAGTTTCTACAAATGCAATGAAGCAGTTACATGCCTACATTTGGAAACAGTCTTATAAATTTATGAAGAATGACTATATAAAATAAACATTTGGAAATATCTAATGAGATTTCATTCTATCATGTTAGGAATGTACAAATGTCTGACTACTAGAACATCCCTAAAGTTATACTAAAAATAGAATAAGAACCAAACATTTTGAAATATATTCTGCTGTTCGTTTAATTAAAATCTTGTGTAGTATATGCAATACTGCTTTTTCATAACTGTTTCATGTCCCTGCTATGGTTCATCCTTTATGCTGTTAATGCTTTAGAAATGGTAAGGGGACAGTCTGCCCTGTCTTCCATGTAAATAATGTTTGTTTATTCTTCCAGGAGTTGTGGATGACCGAGGGAAGTTTATATATATATCACCAGAAGAACTGGAAGCAGTAGCCAGATTTGTAAAACAGCGAGGGCGGGTATCAATAGTGGAGCTTGCAGAAAGCAGTAACCAGCTCATAAATCTGAATCCCAACATCAGTAAAACTGTTTCTGTTCAGNTGTTCAGAATTGAAGGGGGGGGGGGAAAGAAAAACCATTAAATCAATAAAAATTTAACATCTTAAATTATATTGTTCTGTTTCTTGTTAATGTGAATTCCCCCAAAACATCACATTATGATTCATAACTAGATTAAAAAACAGAATTACATTTATATATTTCTAAGATTATACAGTGGTCTTATGATTATATGAAATAAAGATACATGTAAGAGGTACTAACACTCAATTCCCAGCATTTTATTAAAACATGACTGCCACTTAAGTCAACACACAAGCTAGAACATGTTCAAGTACCATTACAAAATATGATTGATACTATCAAGTTTCATTCTTTTCCATGGTTAAACTGTTGATTTTAATCTAAAATGTATGGTACAATCTGTTTTAGAAATATGCTTCATTTATATGGCCTATATTATTGAACTTATATACATGTAACACTGTGAGGGTAACTATGTATTCACAACTGACATCACAATAAAAAGAACTTACTCTGTAATCAACCAAGTGCTGGGTCAGAGATGATGCCCAAGACTGAAGATCTGATAGTGTGCTGCCTGGTCAGGGTTATCACATTCAGAGAATGGGCTTCCTGTCCCTCTAGGCAGATGCTGGGATAGCATCTCAAATTTGGCCATGATTGCTTCCTCCCACATCCCCAATTCATTATTTACTATTCAATGCTAGATAGATACTGACAACATAATTAACTAGACTACAAATTTAATTCATAAAAGGTACTAGGTAATATAAAATTGCTGAAGGAAGCCCCTGCACCATGTTAATTATACAGAGACAGAACAAGGAGTGGGATCAAATGTTGGCAACAAAATAATGAAACCTGTACTCAAAACCAATTAATAGTTATATTAATTTACCTAAAGGAGCCAGGATAGCGTAGTCAGTATAGAAACTGGCTACAGGCTAGATGACTGAAGGGGGTCAGACTTTGAGTCCTGGTAAGATCAAGAACTTTTTCTTCTCCATGCTGTCCAGACAGAATGGGGGCCACCCAGCGTCCTATCCAATGGGTACTGGGGGCTCTTTCCCCAGGGATAAAGCAGCCAGGGCATGAAGCCAACCACTTGCCTCAAACTAGTGCCAAGATCAAGAGAATGTGGATCTATACATCCAGTCTCCCATATGTATTCACAGCTTAATGCTTAGTTAGTTAAGCACAGGAGCAACTTCAACTCTTACTTTACCTCAAAGGACATACAACTCCTCACCATTTAACATATTACATCTATGAGAAATCATACAACTTAAATCCAAAAATATTTTCAAATGCCTCATCCAATACAGTATGATCAAATTAATCTGATGTATAATGTTTTACAAAAATAAATTCTGAATATTACAATTACAGGAATGTAAATACAGTACCAAATCTCTTTTCCAGCATCCAGAAATCTGCAAGAACTAACAGTAACAGTAAGATGCAAGCTGGTCACTTTGTATGAATGGTACAGAGTCCTCATATGTGTGCAGTTATTTTACCCCTTCTTATCAAAGACATATCCAAAAGGCCAGCATGAAGTCCTGTAGCTTAGAGGAAGAAGACAAATGGAGTTGCTTTTCCTTACAAGATAAGGAAAGCTAGGCTTACAGTATCATATCCGCATGTCTATCTCCCCCCTGATAACTTCTGAATAAGTTCATGAATTTTCAAGAAACTTGGTATGATCATGCCATAAACAGAGGAAATATCACATTCACACATGATACATAACTGTGACATGCACTGCAACAATATTAGCTAGATAGACAACACCTGATGATGGCCGTATCAGGCCCAAAAGTATAGCGAGGAAGAAGGGTGACTAGATAAGTTGCAATATGATGGAAACCTGTTTGTAAAATCAAAGACAAACAGAGGAATGAAACAGAATACATATATACATATATATCAAAGTCTGCACATTAGTCAATGTGATATGAAGACCACACTATGGCTTATTAAAGTACCATCTACTCTTGGGCCAAATAGAATAGGATATGTCAGATAAATGACAAGGGAGATCCATGCCCCTTTTTTGCCAAGCAATGGATGAGGAAAAATGGCAAGTCTCCACCACAGCCATAACCTTTCATTGTCTGTACTCCTTACACTCTGCCAGTGAACCATGAAATAATGTCTGAACAGAAAATTTGGCAATTACTGCTCCCAACTGGCTTAAGACTATTTTATACTGAGTAAAACAGTAATAAGCCAGTCACGATAACCGAGCGGTCTAAGGCATGTACTGTCTTCGCTCGCTTGGAAACCGAGATCGTGGGTTCGAATCCCACTCAGGGCATGGATGTTTAGTTTGTGTGTGTGCGTTTTTCTGTGTTTGTGTACAGTCAGAGGCCTTGCGACGAGCTGATCACCCGCCCAAGGAGTCCTACCAAATGTCTAAGATCTAGAAAAACCAAAGTGAATGGAGAAGTTCATGGAGGTAGGCCTAGGCCCACTGGGGCTGTAGTGCCAAGAAAAAAAAAAGCGGCCGGCGCGTAAGGCTGACAAACTTACCGC